TTCGGCCTACACACCTCAGCCTTTTGGCCCACACAGCCATTCGGCCTACACACCTCAGCCTTTTGGCCCACACAGCCATTCGGCCTACACATCCAATATCAACACAACATATCAATCTCACAACAGTATACAACTGATGCAGCTCAACATAGCAACTTACAACAATATCAGCTTACAGCGCGGCTAAACAGCTTACAGCTCAACAGTATTGGCATCCAGCACGGCTAAACATCTTACAACACAGCAATACTAGCATACAACAACTAGCAGCTTATAGCTCGGCTAAACATCTAAACACAGCTCACAGCACAGTCTAAACATCCTTAATCAGCAATAACATATAACAATACGACATATTCATCAATTTCAGCTCAACCTCATAATCTCACATTATCAACTAGTCAGTACAACAACAATATTTAACAACTACAGCTCAGCTCAGCAGTCTATAGTACAACAATATTTTAATTCAACATGAAAATCATCCATGTCAGCCCAACTCAGCACGACAACATATATCTATTACATCGTAGTATTGCCTCATTAATAACATACATGACATACAACATATTCTACACATAATACAACTCATCCACCTTGTTTATAACTAAAAGAATTTAACTTATCTTAAATTTAAATATTTTATAATTTTAAAATGTGAAATGAAATGTATTTAATTATTTCACAGCTAAGTTGTAAATAAGAAATTATTATGTTTATAATAACCAAAATCATTGCAACCATTTAGCGACCAAAATTTTCGAAAATTTTTTTGTCACTAAATAGCTTAGCGACCAGGGTTTTAACCACTGATTAAATTCAATCGCTAAGGTAAATAGCGACCGATTTTGGTGGTCGCTAAATTGTATATTTTTTGTAGTGGCATTTCAGAAAATCTAGAGAGAAGGATTAGAGAAAGGTTTCTTGAAGTAAACCTTCTTCCTTTTCTTCTTTGGTTGACAAGCTCTTTTCTTTCTCCCTTGTAACCGATCAAAGTCACTGATTGGAAGATTCAAAGTTGGTGAAGTTGGGGTTTCAGTTTCGAGGTCATACGAAGTTTGGACTTCTTTTTTCCTCTTACGAATTTGATTCTACAAGAGGTAAGGGAAGCTTGTGTTGTTTGTAAATCTTGTGTAAATTGTCTTGTATGATTCATCTTGTTGTTGTTAAGGAAGATGAGATGGTGGTTTTCATTATAGTGGCTGATTTTGAATTTGTTTGCATGTTGAAGTTAGGGTTTGGGTTTGAATGCAAAAGGTATAAACTTGATAGTGTAAATTTGGGTGCATGTCATTTTTGTGTGGATAAATCAGTGAAAAGTGAAAACAAGTTGTAGATGATGTTTAGGAAGAAAAATTATGAAGTCCAAGTGAGAAATGAAGGAGAAACCAAGAACATGCAGAAAAAACTCTACACTCAACGTTGGACCATTAGAAATACCTCAAATAAGATGTTCAAATTGAGATCTAGCGTTGCAGTGATGTTATAAGTGCTACAATGGTGAAGAAGGAGGTCTGGCTAAGATCCAGCATTGCAATAGTAGTTAAGCTTTGTAGCAATGGGAAAAAATTGGGTAATGGAAATCTAGTGCTGAAGCGTTGGATTGAGCATTACAATAATGGAGGTAGATGACTGAATTTGACTTTAGGGTCTTCATGAAAGTTGTAGCCTTGGATAATAATTTTCCAATGGCTTTGGAATCTACAAAGGAGGTCTACAACTCCAATTATGAACTTTTTAGTGAGTAAAGGTCAAATTGTTAGCAATTAGGCTAATAGTTACGATTTTTGTAATTTTAGTATAGTATATGATGGTGTTAGAAATTGAAATTTTCATAAGATTTGCATATAATCTTTTTATATTTCATATGAGATAAAGGTGAGTTTGATTGGATTAGTGGAACTCCAATTACGTTGTGTTATGTGGAAGTTGTCGTTGTATGCTAGTTGATGATCACATGTTGAAAATGATGTGTTGATTCTCTTATAACATATAGTAATATATGATGTCCTAAGTTATTAAATGTTGAAATATGATGAATTATTGATATAGATGATGATGATGTATGAGGATGATTAAATTCGTCATGTTGAGATTACTATACATGTTGTAAGTTGTACTAGTGATTGGAAATTGTGATTCAAGTTGTTTAGTTGATAAGTTGCTTGGTTGTTTTTAGTTGATTGTCAAGATGTTGATTTCGTTGACGTATGCTTAAAGTTGCTTGTTACCTTGATGTTAAGTTGTTATATTGCTTTGATGTTTTAAGTTGTCTTATGTTGAATGACGATATATAAGTTGTAAGACGGATGTTGATAGTTGTTAAAGTCGAAAGCTGCAAAGTTGTTGTGTATAGAATTTTGTGTTTATTATTATTGTTAAGTTGAAAGTTAGTAAGTATGCTAAAAGATGATTAAGTTGTGAAGAAGTAAGATGATATCATGTTATGTTGTTGTATGGTTAAGATGTAAGATGAATGATGTTTAAGTTGTAATAATTTACGATGATAAGTTGTTAAGCAATTCAATTGTTAAGCATGTAGTTGTGATACATGTATATCTTTAGATACATAGGAACTAACAGAGAGTAAATGATGTTTTCAAAATTTAATATGTCATTACGCAGATATATGCACTATGTTGAACCCTTCAATAAGTAAGTTGACTTCTAAATGGGTAAGTTGTTTTCTAATGTATCCTCTAGATTTTATATGATATTCCTATGTAGGTAAGGCACTACTACAAAAAGAGTAATCTAAGTCGCTCAATCTAAGTCGGTATATTAAAAAACGATGTAAAATAAGACGTGGCGGCATTTTTGTAAATAAAAGGAATGTAATCTATGACGGTTTAAACAATACCCGTTGTAGAATAGCCTACACAAATATATCTACGATGATTTTTAGTAAAACCGACTTAGATGTTAAGTGATCTACATCAGTTTTTATGTAAAACTGACTTAGATGGAGACCCAAAAATAACCCCACGCGTTCTCTAAATTCATGCGCGCCCTTCAGTCTCCCAGCCACATTCTCTCTGGCCTCCTGCGCCCGCCACATCCTCTCCTTCCTCCCCTCTTTCCACATAACTATAACTGCCCTTAACCCTTCCGCAGGACATTGCCCCTTCCGCTCACTTCCTCTGCCCCAGTTGCTACCTCACCGCTCTCAAGCTCGATTGCACTTGCGTCAACGATTCCGCCATCGCCTTCTTGCTCAACAATTCCTGCACCAGTAAGGTAGCGATTGTTTGAGACTCTTCTGGCCTTTATTCTTCTTTGTTCTTTGTTCTCTGTTCTTGTTAGGTGTTCTTCACAGTTCCTTCGCAATAGTCTTTGCTTTTAGTTTCCATAATTATTTTATGAATGTTACTGAGATAACTTTGGCGAAGCTATTTGATAAGGTTTAGGGGTACTAAATGTTAGAAGTCAAACTTCCTATGCATTTAGTTTCTGTTTGAACTCATAGTTTTTTTGAGCTACTATATATGTTCTATAATTATTTTGGTTGTTTAACTTTTAATGTACAAAAAATTTGTAAGGGATGATCTTAGGGAGATAAAATGTTGTTTTAATTGTTATTGTGTTAATTAAAAACCTCTAGACTATTTAGTGGAACTCCTATTTATATTCACTGCATTACTTCTAACCTGACATTGTTGCTTCCATAGGGATGGCCAATGTCCTGAATATAGCGGGGAGGAGCAAGCTATTTGTGCTGTTGGTCTTGCAAAATCAAAACCTGGTGTTTTTGTTGAAGCTATGCAATATCTTTTAGTTTTAGCGACACCTGTTGAGGTATTAACCATTTTATATTTTAGTGATTTTTCAAGGACTTGTGTACATGAATATTGTACTTAAGAACCAATTCTTTTTGTTACGTGTTAAATTGCTTATTATGTGGGTTGGTTTTCCATTCAAATAATTTTGTCATTTTTTCTGCTGTAGCACTGGTACAGTATCTTTTTTTCCTTTCTTGAATCTTCAAGTTGAACATTTCTTAATTGTTGATCAAAATGTTCAACTTGGTTTTATGTGGTTCTCTCTCTGGATATGGCTGAATAGTATCCTTTTGGCTTTTTGGTAGCCTGCTAATTAGGCAAAAAGAAGTTTTTCCCCTGAAGTTTTCCAGTAGCATTGATAAAGATCTCAAGTAGTTTGGTTAGCTTTCATAATTATTTATGCCTTCATTTCTATTCCAGATCATTTTACTAAGTAGTTGGAGAATTTTTTATTTTGGCTCAGTCAACTAGGTTTCTTATATACTATTCTTTAATTCGTTTGAGAAAAAAAAGATGATTAGCCTCCTGAAAGGAAATGTAAAAGATCCATTTATTTGAAATTTCTCTACGTTTGCTGGGTTGCATTTAAAAGCAAATTTGCGTTTCTCTAAATTTTTGCTTTGGGAAGTTAAATAATGAAATAAGTCTAAGGACAGGAGTTTTTATTTTCTTAATATTAAATATGTAATTATTTAATTTGTATAAAAAAAATAGCAAGCATCGCACAAGCCACAGTAACGATTAACAACATGTTTGGGTTGGAGTTGAACTCCTAGAAACCCACATTAAACCTAAAGCAACTCTCCCCTGCTTCAACACCTCTAAATTTTTTATGCATTGATTATTTTGTTTCCATCTTCTTCCTTTTAATATATATTAATCTATTGTCTATGAGAATCTTACAGGAATCAAGTTCGGCATCTTGGAAAATATCTAAGCATAAGTTTCTTCTGGAGTTACTTTAAGTGGTTCTTCAGTGGTATTGGGGATTCATGCGGATTTGACAACTTTCCTAGCTTTGGTTTAACTCTATTTAAGAACATGTAAGTGTCTTGTGAATTTGATTTGCTCTTCATATGATTGAATTCATTTCCCACTTACATTAAATTATGCAGCGTCTGTTGTTGGGTATCACATGTGTACTTTGTTTAATGAGATCTAATGAGTAATGACTACCATAACAGTCTGAGAGTTACATTGTATATAAGTCTGCTTCTGTATTTTTATATGTTATTGTGTCATTTCTATGAATTCACTTGTGCCTTAAGGAAAACTACCTTAAGGTACATTACAAACAGAAACATTTTCGATTTGATTAAAGTCCTTGAGCTAGTGCTAGACTTTTAACTTGTTATTATTTAATTGACAGAACTTAGCATACTTGTAACTTAATGAACTCAATAAATAACAAAATATACTTCCCCTCATGATGAATATCTCCCTGTACTTGGTAAACACCAAAACACAATTATGATTATGTATAACAATACCTTCTTAAGAAACTAATGGGGCAGTGTCACAAACTTCAACTAGTTATTTCTAATAAACTCAACCCTTAACTACCATACTATTAACATTTGAGTTGAAATCCTGTAACTATTTGAATTCTTGAGAATAATTGCAAGTTGTAATGACAGACCAAGGGAGAGTGGTTAACACAAAGTTATGGTCATGCGCACACACTTTGGATAATGGCTGGGCTTGTCTCAGACTAGTTAATTCCCTGATTTGCACAGGAACAAGGTGGGTAGTTAGAATTCAGAGAAAGGAAAGACAGAAAAAGTGGCCGAAAGTTAAGAAGTTAAAAATACTTTTTGAAAATTACATTCTAAATCTGTTGACTATTTTCTCTAGAGCTGTCAAAACGGGTAACCCGGCCCGGCCCGACCCACCACGGGTTGAGCCTTTGGTGGGCCAACCCAACCCGGCTCGTTTATTGGTGAGCTGGAAAAAATTGAGCCCGGCCCGGCCCACCACGGGTTGGTGGGCTAAACGGGTTGGCTCACCTAATTTAAAAAAATCACCTAATTTAAAAAAATGTAATCAAATTTAATGCCTAATCCTGCAAAAATAGTATGCACATAAGCTTTTCTAGAGAAAAGTAAATAAATTCCTACACTAATTACATAATTTGAAGAAAAAATACATAAAATTGAGAACCTATGATGGTCTATGAAGTTTTATTTGGCCCAACCCAATAGCAGAAGTTTTTTTTTTTTTTTTTTATGGGCTGGTGGGTCAACCCGGCTCTCCACGGGTTGAACCCGGGTGAGCCGGGTTGTTAGTGGGCCGGGTTTAAAATTGGCCCACACTGAAATTTGCAAATTTTTTTTAGCCCAACTCGGCTCGAACCCGTGGTGGGCCGGGTTGGCTCACCGGGCTGAACCCATTTTGACAGCTCTAATTTTCTCAAATGGATAGATAAAGCGAAATGGAAGGAGTATGATAGCTTGTATGCACTACTAATATATTTTAGTGGTTATACGTGCATGTGGTTATATTTTAGTGGCATAGGATTCTAGAAACATGGTCAATGGGGAAACTGATGGTAACCCCTGATTGCAATCTCAAGTGCAATTGTTTAATAAAGATTAGGAGATGGACTTGTGTTTATTATAAATTTGCTATTGCGTTTCAACTATTGACTCTATTGTTCTAACTAAGTCGATTGATTGAAGTTTAATAAACGAGGAAAATTTATCATTAACAACTAGCATTGGCATCCTTATAATGAAGCCTAATAACCTATGAAATGTCAACCACAGTTCATAATAAGCATGATGTGTTGCTGCCTATAGATGTGTTATTCATTATTTGATAGGTTATAATGATTTTCCTGTTGTAATTAAAGGCATTGTTGCCTCCCTTTTACATATGCATATCCTAAACAAACTAATTTCCTTTTAATTAGTACCATAACGATGTTTGTAAATAAGTCAAATATCTTGATATTCTTATATAATTGTTTGTGATTACATTTTTATTTGTGATGGGACGTTAAATTTTCTAAGTTGACATAGTTTTCCTTACCAAATATCATTGAATAAAGTTGTAACACAATGCACTAGATTTCTAAGTAATTTTTATTTTTTTTATAAAGATTTCTAAGTAATTTCATCAAATATATACATTTCTATAACCTTGACATATTGTAGTTTGATTGTTTGTATTGTATAGTGTTTGCTAAACAAGGAATCTATAACCTTGTAGTACTCACCTTCATTGATTCTCACTCTCCAAGCCCTATCAGATTAAGCATGCGTGTTCTCTGTTCCGCAAATTCTCTGTCGTGTGAATCTCGCTTTTTTTTCATTCTCTTCTCATTCAGTCTATTTTTTTTGTTTGAAATCACGAGAGCGTTTTACCTGGAATTATTCTTAGAATTAGTGGAAATTTTATTCTTCGTTTTGAATTTGCGAACCTAATTGAGAACACATTTTTGGTTTTTTCATTTCAAATCTAAAATGAGTCCTAGACATCGTAGCATTTGTAGAGTGTGATATTCTCTGTGCGAGGATGTGGATATGGATTAGAAAGGAATATGAGTCATATGATTGCTCCATGCATGCAACCCTTGCAAACAATAGAATCATAGTGGAGAGATATAGATTCAGCTCCAGAGCTTAGAAAGTCACTGAACTAGTAATCGAAAACAGAAAAGTTATATCATGCTTTGCTCAGAAGTTTTGCCACTGTGGTCATCCACGGATATATAGCAATTTATTTATCTTATTCCTCACGAAATACTAATATACCATCTTCAATTCTTTTTACAATTTAATCATCAAATTTTCTATAAACAATAATGTGGTTGGGGACCCGGGGGTATTTGGCTTCTTACCTATTATAGAACTTATCAGATGTTGCACCCATAACAAGCTTTCGGGTGCCATGCTGGGAGCCAAGTTCTAAAATTCCTTTTTCAATGCTATCCATTTCAATTTGTAGTTTCTCTACCCGCACTGCACATGTATCAAAAAGTTATTAGTGCAAAATTAAATAAATTGCTAAATACATATTCATATAGAATTGCAATAGTTACCCCTATCTGTAGACAGATACGGAGATATTCATCTAGTGTCCTATGCATGCGTTGCCTTTCATCTTCCTGGTATGTCTGAACCTGCTCCTCTTTTAGTGCACTTTCGGGGAAGTTACCTCCCTCTATAAGCAAGAAAATGGAAGTTTTAGACCATTATCAAATGCAGAAAATTGTATGTATGACAGATACATCATATCAGAGGGAAATTCCAATAGTTACTATACATTACAGCTAAATTTGTTTCCTGAAATTAACTACTTCAGCAATAAACCAATACACGATTAGGGAAACCAAATTGGAAGACATTCAGATTCATTGGAGAAATTTGTTTTTAGAAAAATTTAGAAATAGATCATGTTGAAAGGTCTAGTATTACATGTAAAATTTAGAAATAGGTGAATATGGTTTCAGTATTAGGCTGCCCAGTGTATGTCTAATGTAGTGTGACCTAATTTTTTTGATCTTCTCTTCTCCTTGTAAGAGAAAAACTCTTCTTTATGGATACTAGATTAGCCTCTCTTGGTTTCCAAGTATATTGTTTCTTTAGTATTATATATATATTAATTATATAATGATTTAATTTAGCCATTTCTATAATTATAACGATCCCAAATTGGTCTCTGTTGGTTTCTCTTACATTGGATAATTGAATCAGTTTTTGCAGGTTATTTATAATTGAATTAGTTTTATTTTAAAAATTATCCTGGTTAAAAAAAATACAATCTATAGCGGTTCTAAGCAAAAACCAACTTAGATGTATATATGCACATCTAAGTCAGTTTTGAATAAAAACCGTCTTAGATGTGCATATATACATCTAAGTCGGTTTTGAATAAAAACCGTCTTAGATGTGTATATATACATTTAAGTCAGTTTTGATAAACATAAAAACTAACTTAGATGTATGTGCACATCTAAGACAGTTTTGTAAAAACCGACTTAAATGTATAAATACATCTAAGTCGGTTTTTACG